CATGGAAAAGAAACTGGAAGCTCTCTTCAGACAGGTTTGTGACAAATGTCACTGTAAACCCAGTTTTGGTTCTAGCCTGTTGAAGCTCATAAAATTGATTTCTATTATATAGCTTTCATATAAAGATATTTCCTGCATCCTGAGAGCACATTACATGTGGCTTTATCACTTCAGATAAGCATCATCAAACAAGAAATGGTCTCTTGGAGAAGTAATTAATGTATGTCTGAGGGTTGTTATCTCATGGGGCAGTCCAAGGCCTCAGGTATTTACTGCCCACACCTGTTGAGTATTGCAGCATGGGGCAAACTTTCTTTGAGTAATCTGCATAAACCTAACTCAAGCTGGAACAGTGGTTACGTTTTATGACCTCTTGGACAAGTATATCTGAAATCTGCAAGCAAGAATGTGATTCGCTGTGAACGGCTTGATGGGAGTGTTCCAAGGAGAAAGAGAAAAAGGCCCTGGCACGAGTGGATGAGTGAGAACGATGGTGCTAGCAGAATGTTTGAGACCCCAACTCCCATCCCTGCCTCCCCATCCAAATTCCATCTACTTATTCCTTAATTGTAATTAGCATGTATGTATTCCTGTTTGTAAATAAACCCAACCCTTATTTTAAGATTCAGTTGTCTGTCTTTTAAAGTAAGACTCCCCCAAACCAGAGTATATAGCCTAAAGCTGGCCACAGACCTTACCACCATCGCAAGACGTTTGTCTTGCGATGGTTGTAAGGTAATTAAAAAAACGTACGATCTGCACATCTTGGACAGGCAGATCGTACTTGCGATAATCGCAAGTCCGCCCCGCTGAGGGGGCGGGCTACCGATGACCGCAATGCTGAACGGGCAGTGTGTGCTTGCGCACAACGGCCAGTGTGGCAATCTTACGAACATGCCACACACCCGCCGACAATCGCACGATTCTCGACTGGGTTTCGAACATGTTCCTAAGATAAAAGTTGCGTGACCATACAGTAGAAACGGTCGCACGCCTTCCACACACCTTGCGATAATTGTACGATTGTGGGATTTCCCGCGATTATCGCAAAGTGTGGGAACCTTTACTGTCCCAGACTCTGGCTAAATGGTCAATCATTTAAATGTTATTTTACTGGCACCAGCCTGGACTACCAGATGGCGAATTGTGTGGACCATGTTGAACATCGTGAGACATGGCGCTGGATGCTTGCTTGCCTGCATCATCCTTATGTCATTCTATATGCGGTACACACTTTGGCTAGTGTTGGACAGTGGAACAGGCTTCTAAGAAGCAACTTTTACTAATGCTTTTTGCAAGTGAACATCCCTTTGAAGCCATGTTGGATGAGCTCATCAAAAACCTCCTGCAGACTAAATAAGGTAAGGATCAGCCCCACACAGCTACTCCTTTTCTTCACTGAAACATACTTTGTTTACCCCACAGTTACTCTCTTTATAAAAGCCCCCCACGGCTGGCTCCCAGTCCACTCCCCAAGTTTTTGATATGCCAGGAATGCAGAACCAGCAGAAAAGTCCTCTGACATAGTGTGCCCCCCCTTTCTTTTCCAAAGTGGTGTGGTTTTCTGGTCTTTGTGGACACTTGAAAATCTTGCATCTATGATGCTTGGGTGCAAGAGGTGGTGTCTTTGGGCCACAAATGAGTTTCATTCCCTGTCCCCTCTGCATTCTCATTTCAGATCTCCATAGCTCCTTGCAGTCCTTCATCGGGCCCTTGCAAAGCTTCCTGGACCAGGGTGTTATGACCCTTTGACCCTTCCAGGGAACATCTTCAATTGGCATTTGCTCCATTTTGGACCCCAAGGCTCTAAATAAATTTTGTGGGTGTTGTTGTATCTTGACCTGGTAAGGTTGCTTGCAGAAGCCATGGGCTTCGTCAGACTGTGGATCTGATGTCCTTTTTCTCAGACTTGCGGCTGGCCCTTAGAACTATAAAGGATCAGGTCTCTGCCCTTGCTATCCTGTTTCAAAAACTGCTGACATCTCATATTCTGATTAATTTGGTTCGGGG